ATAAGAGATGACAGTGCAACTGCATGGATATGATCTTTAGTGGGTCTTCTCTAGTTTAGTCTATAAAAATAAAACCTAAAAAAAATAAAATTGAGTGAGTATAGCAGGTAGCAAGATGGCAAACAATTCTGAAGTTGTGAAGTGCTTGAGAGGGTGAAAAGGATTGGTTTTATTATCAGTTAACAACAGCAAAATGCTTTACAGCACTAAGGATCGCTTTTCAGTTTCACTCTGAGATTATTGGGCTGCAAGGGGAGAAACATGTGAATACCCATGTGACTGCTGGCAGCCCAGTTTTGGTTTTGGCACAAACTTGTTTCTGGCTCGTTGGTATCTGTGCCAAAGAGGAGCACATTCCTGGTGATTAGTGATGGAGGGAACAACGCTGTGGGAGTCTACATCAGATAGGGAAGTGGGTCTTGCCTTAATGTGTGAACTGTTCTCTGATCAGTTGTTATCCCCTAAACAAATAAATCTCTTTTATATAAATACTTGAAGACCCAGCACGAACTTAACGTTCCCTATCTTCGTGTTTGTGTTTAGCAGCTGCAGTATTACTAGCAATATAACACAGCTGTCTTCTACCTTCTCTTTTGGTAGTAGCTTGATGCTTTCAACGGGGGAGAGAACTAAAAAGATTTCTACCAGTAGAAAATACACTACACTACTGAAGTACACTATAACCAGTTATTATTCCTCAAAGGAACACTGACTGGTGTATAACAATGTAACTAGTATTGCTGAATGGCTGATGAATCTTACAGCTGTTGCTGCTACTTGGCAGTGTTAAAAAAAATCACAAACACATATCTATCTAAAGATCAGTCTACTTCAATGGAAACAACAGTAAAGTCCAATTTGTCTTTGCATGATTTATTTGTGCCTATCAATAGACACCCAAAAAATAGTGTTCTCTTAAAGATTTATTCCCCTGGCTTTGCAAAACACTTGTACCATAGACTTAAACTGTTTAAGTTTATTAAGCATAAAATAATTTTTGAAAGCTGAAGTGTTTAGCACTTTTGAAATGGACCTCTCTGGATTTTTATACTTGTAGAAGAAAAGTCAGAAAAGCATAAGACAAAAGTCTAAAATGTAATGTATTTAGATAATATGGCAATGAAAACCCAGAACTAACTGATGTTATCAGCTTTAGCATTAAAAAACAAAAGCAAAAAGAAAAACCCTCTGAAAACCTGTTGTGAACTAAGTCTGCCTTAAGTTTCTGTTTGGAAAAGGCTTCTGACCATTCATTTCCAAGTGTCACATAGCTCCCTGAATGCTATTTGCTGTATGCTCAATTACAGATCTGAGATGGGTCAGTATGGTTTGAAACAGTGAATACTGAATTTCAGAACTGGTAAATGCATATTTACCTTTAAAATCTGCCTGTTGTGAGTGTTGTCCCAAGCTACTCACTGCAAGCATTTGTTCATTTTCTTGACGTGAATTTTTTTTTGTTCCAGCGCTATTTAGAGGAAGTCTTAGTTTATTCTGAACAATAACCATCTATGTAGGATTCACATGAGAGCATTGCTATTTGAGTAAGGATGTGAAATCCGATTTCAGAACTACTTGAAAAATGGGCTATGTTCCTTGCTTATTTCCATTCCAGTACAAAACCACTTTACCGTACTTGATATAATGTAGTTGTTGCATAGAGATTTTTTTTTCTAAAGAATTGCCAGTTTATTATTTCACTGTAGAGGAATGTGATATTTTTAGTGTTCTACTTCAATGACTACATTAAATAACTGATGAAAGCCAGCTACTTTGATGATACTGCTTGTTGTCTTTATCATAATGGTTCACTAAATATCCTGCTTTTGTGTGTGTTTCCAGTACTTCTGTTTATAAACCATATCTTACTGTCTTCATCTTCAAAACCTTTCCATTTAATTCTGTGCTACTCCTTGCTTAGGGAATGGTACTTTTTAAGCTACTTTCTTAAAAACATTGTTATAGTTTGAAATAACACCTAGAGTAACTGCTTAATGATCTTATGTCATGACTTAAAAGAAATTCTTCAAGGACAGCTTTTGAAAAATGTATTTGTGTGCTTGAGTACTTATTTTAACAGAAGCCTTATAGGAAAGCAACAAGCAGCAAAACCAAGGAGAAAACAAAGGTCGTCTGTTTGACTTGCTTCTGAAGCTGGACATCGTAGAGCTGGCTGTGCTCACTTGAAGGCGTTTGAGTTCACAGCTGGTTTAGAGCACTGCCACATTCCAGCTTCAGCAAAGAAGCTGAGCTGGCTGGAAATCATTTTTTATATATGGAACATGCTGTACAGGAGGAGACTGAGCATTCTCACATGCTTGCCTCTATCCCTCTTGAGTGAAAATCACTGTACAGAAAACAGGATTTCTTTCCTGTGTCTTTTGAAGTGAATGAATTTAGAGCCTGTCACTATAGCAATTGGGCATGCCGCCTTCACCTTTAAACCATAAAATGCAGCTTAGCAGCAGCATTTCTTCCAAAAGGTACAAATGTAAAAATGTAAACCTTTAACTTATGGAGTCAGACGAACCTAACCTGCAGTGTTCGTGCAGCAGACTTTTTGTGGTTTTTTGTTTTGTTTTGTTTTAGGGGTGGTGACAGTCAGGAGGGATTGGTTGTGTAGTTTAATTTTTACCTTATTTCACTAAGAGGCTATTTAGAAAAGGAATTTTTGACTGGACTGGATTAGTTAGTTTTCTGGTATGTTGATCCATTAATGGAATAAGCTGCTGTTTCTGTGCAAAGTTTGAAAGCTGTCAGACTTGTTCTGTGATGTAGTGAAATGGTTTATTTTTTAATCGTATGTTTATTTTTTCATCAAATGAATGATTTCAGAGTTGTTGCCTGGAGCGCTGGTTCAGAGGTGACTTCCGTGAGGGTGAGCTCAAGGTTCATGCTGTGCTCATAGCATCAAAAAGGGTTGGATGCTCTGTGCCAAATTGGATGTAATCAAATGTCTATTGTAATGAATTACACGGAATTCTAGAATATGGCTGATAATTTTGTCTTGTATTTAATACCAGGCTACTGTGGCTAAATCCATATACCACGTCACAGTTCTGCACAGTAACGCCAAACAAGTAGTAGAAGTGCAGATCCTAAGGGAGGTCTGATGTAAAGGATGTTTAATGACTCACTGATGCTTGTCTGTCCTTCTCAGTGACCAGTATCACATAAGATCTAATTGTATCTTTAGCCTATATTGTAGATAGGGTTTATCTCTTTATTACTGGGTTGAACAGCAGGGGATAGCACGGGTGCATCTTCCTTTACTAGTGCTGTTCAGCCTTTTGTGTACTTGACAGAGGATGTTTCCAGGCGTTACCTAATCCTGTCACACCACCTACTGTTGAAATGCAGACATTGGGCATAAGTGCTTCTGTTGCCTAAATCTTCTTGTAATCCCCTTCGTGCCGCGCTTTCTAGGTCTTGGTGCAAACTGATGGTTTCTTAATCATTGGTGTTCAAGAGCAGAGTCTTTGTAGCAAAACTGATGTTGAATAAAGTGGAATTACTAGCAAATTTTGTCATGTTTCAACTCTCTCTCTTAGTTTAAGCATAATTGAAATAGGGTTATAGTGGCAAGAATAAAGGAAAGAGTATTGTATTTAAAGAGAAGATGGAGTATTCAAAGTAAGACCTGAAATGCTGTAATAATCTCTTCTTGAGTAAGATGAGCTATGTCTGTCAAACTTGAAAATGGCAATAATGTCAGAAGTCAAGATATTTTGTATATTAGATTTTTGTATATGAATAATACCTAAGTCTGTCTGTCTTGTCTCTGTTCTTGTTTCTGTACAAGAACTTTGACAGCTTTTCCATGGTTATTTGGAGTACTATATAAAGACATTGGCATCTAAATTTTAAGTCAGAGCCGATATTAGTCAACTCAGTGCTTGCGAGACAAGCCTGTGTATACATAATTTCTTTTGGACCTTTGTAGTTTCAGTCTGGGTGTATGCTTTTCAGGAATAAATGAAGTGAAATAAATCAGCTACACTTTCAGGAAGAAAATTTCAGTTCAGTTCATTAGTAGTACAAAAGCCAGCTCCTGTCTGAAGATGGCACACTTCTCAACTTAAATAGGTTGATTAATTTAGCTATTGGGCATTTGTATTCAGGAGCTCAAATGCAAACAGCAATTAATGCAAAAATGTGTCTGCAGCAGCTGGCCATTGAGAACTTGGTTCCAGGGAGTGCTGTTTAACTAGTTTTGCAGAACTAGTCGGTTTTAAAGTGTATTTATGTGCATACAGCACAATCTGATACTCTTGTAAAGCAAACTGTCTTTTAGCACTCTGACAGTGCTCTGTCAAAGGGGAAAAAATCATTTCTATGTTTGGGGGTGGAAAGAAACAAAAGAATCTTTCTTGGATCATCTTTGAGACAGAGATAATATTTTATGGGATTGCCAGTACAGCTAACCATAGTCCACAGAGGTGTATGTTCAACGTGAATGTAAGAAAAACTTCTATGTGCATGAAAATGTCAACCTTGAAGGCCAGTCTATATAGAATTTGATTTAGTCCTGAGTTGAACATGCAGGTAAAATTGAATTCTTATGTCTTCAGAACAGTTTTGCTGATTTACAGCATTTTTTTTTCTTCAAGGAAATCGGGTGACAGAGCACTGGGAGAGGTTGCCCAGGGAGGTTGTGTAGTCTCCTTCTTTGGAGATGCTCAAAACCCACCTGGATGCTATCCTATACAACATGCTCTAGTTGACCCTGCTTGTCAGGGGGGTTGGATCAGATAATGTACAGAGGTCCCTTCCAACCTCTACAGTTCTGTGATTCTGTGAAGGAGCTTAAAAACTAGAAGGCATTGCTTTTATTTACCACGTAAATATGGATTAATTACGTCTTCTTTGCATATATTTTTTAGTATACATAAATACTTCTTTTTGTAGGCATATATGTAGAAGAGGCAACTGCTTAAGCTTCTTTTCAGTTTTGTTTTTTGTTCTTCTCACCTCTCCCCCCGACTCCTTCCCCCTGACAGGCGTAGGATCTTCACCAAGAGAGAAGCATGTCTCCATGAAAAATTCTTCAGCCTTCTGGGCTAGCTCTAGTAAACCTCTACCCAAATCTAAAGTGCCTGTCAAAAGATCAGTGCTGGAGAGGACACCTAGCATCTCATCGCTCAGCAGCACTCAGAGTGAGAGAAGTCTTTTCAGCAGTAATTGTAAGTATCTGTCAGTGTAATGAGTTGTAATTGTTACCCAGCAATAACTGTGTTGAAAAATCCCATTGAAAGAAATCCTGAATTAATTCTCATCTTACTTCTATTTGCTTCTTCCATTTACTTCTTATTACTTCTAGACCTTACTCTTTTTGCCCCTTAGCTTACAACTTTCCTTCTGCAGACATGTCATCTGAAGGAACTTTGAGCCTTGGATTTTTATTTGTTGAATAGAGATATCAGTACAGCTCCTCTTCCACCATGAAATGTCACAAAACTAGCAGGTGTTCCTGAGTGGAAGTTTCCTTGTATTTACATATAGTTTCATACTTGTCAGAATATTTGGAACAGCACATTACAGGTTTGTTTTATACTAAACACTCTTGTTGAGCTAGATCATATCTACTTCTAGAGTTCTAGGACAAAACGTGAAGATGAGATCAAAAGCAGGTAAGTGAAATTGCTGTTAGAACATATAACTTTGAATGGCATTTATCATTTTTATTGGAACTGTAAGCACTGCTGTATGACCTGAAGCAAATCTGTCTTGATCAAAACTGGGGAGAAAAAAGAAAAGAACTATCTTTAGTTTGAAGCTCTACCTAGGGTCAGTAACAGCTGTTGTGGGAGTTACAGGCTTAAATGTGAAGGAAATAACGCACAATTAACTCTGTCAGACATATCAGTATTCCCAGCTAGACATATTCAAATGAGCACGTTCAAATATTCTGTTACTATTGCATCATCTGTTTCATCTTGGAGACTGGGCAAAGGCATTTCCTTTGTGCCAGCTGTCTTTGAAATCTGTCTTCGATGGACTGGAAAAAAAACCTTGTGCTTTAACATACAACTGCAGTTTATGTATGCGCATGCATGCATGCATATGTAACAACAAAATTTTCTTGTGTTCTTTTTTTCCCTCAAGTGTCTTCATTAAAAATGAAAAGCTAACTTATTCCTCAAAGGAACGAGTATCTGTAATAAAATATGCACTGCATGTTTTTCTGTCATCAGGCTGGTTCTGTTGCCCTGACAGCCATGTTGACTTTTGCTGCTGTTCAATTGTAGAACTGTATCTGGAATTCCCAAGCAGCTTTGTCCTTTCTTCATTTTACTCTCTCATGTAACAAAGGAAAGGGTCATTGCTTCATAACAAAGAAATGTATGCAGATTAAGCATCCAAACTGATGGCTCCTTATTTAGAGTGATTTGCTAGCTGGTTTAATCTGTTTTGTCCACCGCCTCGAAGCTTACAATTTTTTCCACTCTGATTCACGAAGAGCAAGCAACAGCAATATGAGAGGTTGAACATGGCTGCAGTCTTCTTGGCTTCAAGCTTGCTTTGATTCTTTTTAAATGACTATACCAGGAGGACTCCGCAGTTGCACAGAAACTAATTTTTCTCCTGATATTTTCATCAATTCTACACTAACACCACCGACCGATTCAGGAAGCCACTATGATATTACCTTACTGACACTGCTGGTAGTGGGATCTTACAGCTTTTGTATTATTCCTTTGTTAGCCTCGTTTACTGGGAAGAGAAGTAGGTTGTGTTTCTTTTTATTTCTCTTTTAAAGCATGTAATCTGTTTTACGGATGTTGGTAGATTATATGAAATGTTTTAATTTTCTGATTTTTTTTTTTCCGTGAGATGACTTTCTTTGGTTAAATTGCTGAAATTCATAAGAATGATTTAAGTCTGATAGACAGTTTTTGTGAGGATAATGAATATGGGTTACATTAGATTCATATGCTAGAAGTTTATATGACTTTGAATCAAATTGTAGAGAGAGTAAGTTTACTTTTTACCCTTATGTTTTATGTACAGTGCTGTTCCTTTTTTTTTCCTAGTCTTTCATTTAGTCTACTATGCAATAATGTCAGAAAAAAAGTCTGTGTTTGTAAAAACTAAAGTGGTTTTATTAGATTGGCAGAAGACACAGAGATTGTGATGGAAGATTTATTCTGTGAATGTAATGAAATTCCTAACTAACTATTGTGGTCCTCACGACTACATTAAATTGACAAACTCCTTTCGCTTGTTTTTATTAAGGAGTTTGCCTCTTGTTAGCAGGAAGAAACTTAGAAAAGAGCATGTTCCTCCTGCTGTGTCAGCCTAGCCCTTTGTTATGGGATGTCCTTGGATTGGTTGTTTCCTGTGGCAGCATTAGTTTCTTTTGTCTAACGATCACTTGAGTTTTATGATTCTTTCTCTCTAGAGAGACTCTTACTGTCTGAGAAATTTAGAAATAATGAAATTTGAAGTTTTCTTGATATTAAAAGCATATTTTGCATACAAGCTGTCAGTTGGAACCTCAAAAATGTGTTTTTAACAAGCTTGGTTTTAGTCGTGAGCTGAAAATACTATGATTGAACATACTGAAATGTTTAAACTCTGAGGTTGAGCAAGAATTCAAACTTGAATTGCATTAGAATAATTATATACAAAGGAAGTAGTATTTCAGAAGTTAAAAAAGCTGATCCTAGCAATTGACCTTGAGCTTCATTTCCATATTGCCAATACTTCATTAAAATTCTGATAGTGAGTGTTTAAACCCTTTAGCTCTTAACTCTTAAACGAGACCGTTTCAAGTCCGTCAGTATTTCATCAAGATTGCAATAACTACTGCTAATTCTATGAGAAACCATCTTTGAGTCATATAATAATCAAACTTTGCAAGTCTCCCTCTTTTTTTCCTGCTCTTAGCTCTTTTTAGGTGACTCCAGAGTTTCTAATACAACAAGCAGTGCATAAGTAGTCCTGCACCAGGAGTGCTCTTACCTCTAAAGTGATTATTGAAAAACAGCACAGCAGTTTGTAGGCAGTATTTAACTGCTTGCAGTGAACTCTGAGCAAAAATCCTAGATTTTTAGAAACTCACAGAAAAGTTGAGGACTGTTTCAGAGCTGATGCTTTCCTAGAACAAGTTAGTTTGAATCATCTGATGTAGGTCAGGGTCAGAGCTTACCAGAGTAACTGCAGCATTGATGTATTATGCAAATTGTTCCTTGTGTATAAATAAATTTCTTTTGCAAATGTTTAGCTTTTGTGCTTTCGGAGGGAGACCCTTTCTCAAAGAGGAAGAAAAAGCAGCTCTGTCCTTCCTTCTGATGTAGATGTATTGATTCCTGGCCAAGAAGCACTTTTCTGAAGCAGTTAATTATACCGTTTATGCTAGTGTATTTAAATTGACATTTAAATAATCTCAAGGCTGTTCCATCTTTTGATGAACAATATTAGATATGTAGTTCTCATTACCTTAAAATCAGCCTCATTAAAATATGAGGTAAAATGCAGTATTGTATGAACCCCTTTTTCAACATGCACCCCTTCTGCTCCCAACTGACCTGTGAAAAAAGCAATGGTGTGACAAACTATTCCAACGTGAGTTAGTTTTTGCTTATTCTCTGGTAAATGTGATGTGAGATTCTTGCTTTTAATCTCAGTATACCTATTTTTTGAGTAGCTGAACCAAAGTATACTCAATCAGTATTTCAGAAGTCTTTTCGTATTTTTTACTGCAATACTAAAAGAATGCATTGACTCTCCCCAAGTTTCAGTTTTCTTTTTTCAACTAAGTTTTCATTGTGACACTAAACCAAACCTCTCCCAAGTTCCTCTGAAATGGAATAAAATGTCTTGTGCAGCATCCACCCTCTGAGTTGGAAACATGATTTTGACCTGAGGTACAAATTGGTTATTGTCCTATTTTTCCTGTTTGGGTCTGCGTGCCCCTCTTTGTGTGGATTATTTATTTATTTATTTATTTATTTTCTGTATGACTTGTACTCCTCTCTCCAAAGAAAAGTTGGTGTTGGGGGATCATCATCTGAGGCTTGCTGTCACTGAGGAGGTGACTCTTACAAATGCAGACTACAGGAACCCTTCTTAAAAATTTTTCGGCAGCTGCTGAACGGAGTTGGGGTCACCCATTTTTAGTTCCTCACAAGGAGGATGGCAGGAGTGCTTGTGGTGCATTCATGATATCGCTGAAACAGAGCTCTTTACACAAAGGACAGAAAACAAGGAAAGAAGTTGCTTGAGACAGCTGTCTGAGTTTTTAATTTGACTTTGTTTTTTAAAAAAATGGCTTCACATACTGCTGATATTCTTTCTTGGTTTACTCAAACTGAAATGTGCTCTGCATTTGCTTTATACAGCATACTTAGGCTTCTGTTTGTGTTCCTTGATCAATATTCTTTTGCATATGCCCACCCCTTTTGCTAAGTTCAAAGCTGTATGCCCTGTTCAAAGAAATATTTGTAATGTCTTGAGACTAATCTGATATCTTCTGTACAGACTGATCAACTGTAGCAGAAGTGTTCATAATATTTTTATTCCAGCTTGTGTTTCTTGTAACTTTCGCCTCAAAGTAAAACAGGCTTACTTTATGATTTAATTTTCCACAAGGTAGAGACTGCCTAGAGCAAATTCTCTGTCATTCTGTGTTGTAGCTACAAGTGCCACAATCATCATCAAGAATGGAGAATGGCCTTCAAAACCAGCCTGCCAGAATGGTGCTTCTGGACCTGTCTCTTTGAAAGCAGTACCAAGACCTAGATTACACTCATTAAAAACAACTCCAAAAGGTATCTGGATCTGTTTGTAACTAGAGTGAAACTGGAGTTACCACTGTTGTGGTACCTTACCTTTTGCGCTTGGCTGTGTACTGAAGCAATGCTTATTTTAATAAGCAGTGTTCTGGGCAGATGCTGTGGGGAAGTAAAATCACGCCAGTGGGGCCATAAGTTTTGTAAGATCTCATAGGATGGCTAGAATGTCCTTTGAACTGTAATTGATTGGGTATGTAAGGCAAAAGAGAAGGTCTGCACTGTGGTATGGACTTACTCAGGAGCAATATGTCTGTTTTGCATGGAGACTAAATGCACTTTGTTATGTTGTACATGTCATCACTTGGGTTTTACATTGTTCTAGTGGCTTTTTTTTTTTCTGTCACAAAGCTCAGGCACAGGCTCTGTAGCTGCTGCTGACCTGCAGGGTAGACATACTTTGAATTTATCTTCAACGCATTGTTCTTTTCATCATGCAGACTTTAGATGATCTTTGCCCCTTTTGGAACAGAAAACGGATGGGGTTATCACTTTAAATGAGGTATTCCTGGATAAAGTATCTTGTCTGGATGTCATTGTCACACTATTTGAAGGGAAGAATCACACAAACAACTCATTTCTCTGTGATGCTTTTTCTTGATATTTTTCTGACCGACTGAGGGGGAACTAGACGTCTGCTCTCTTTTGTGGTGGAGAAAAGGCAATTGTGCTTCTTCATCTTATGCTAAAGGAAACTTAGTTTAAATGTGGCTGTTTGTTGGCTGATAGAGCAGCCCTGGCTCAGTGCTTTTCCAAGTCAAGCCACAAAGAGCAGTTGACAACTCATTCTCTGACCAAAATTGAAGACGTAAAGGGAGGAGATAAATAAGCTTGTGCTCTCTCTCTCTTAAATCCTAGTTATAATCAGCTTGCTTCTGACCATCTTTGTGGTGTACTGGTTTTTGTAATTGGATAAACCTAATTAAATACTATGCTTCTGCTTTAGGCTTAAGTTTTAAGCCGTCCAAATGTCATGCTGTAATGACATACTTTAAAATGGTAAACAATGAAAAGAAACAGACCCTGCCAGAAACTGTATCACTGAAACAAACAAGAATTATATGGCTGCCTGACAAGCTGTCTTTTTTGTCAGGCCCAGTATCTGCAATGCAATTATGCATTGTTCAACCTCTTCAGTGACCTGGGTGCTAGAAGCATGCCTTCAGCACCTGCAGGAGCAGTATGGCCAGAAGTTGGTGTTCTCCCTCAACTTGGCACTGGTGAAGGCTCCACCTGGACTGCTCTGTGTTTTGGGGCTTCCCCATTTCACAAAGGTTATTTGGAAACAAGAGACTTGGGAAGACAGGGTCTCAGAGCACATCATCTGTGAGGAGAGTTTGGAGGAGTTAGGCTTCTTCAGTCAGGCAGAAAGAAGAGTAAGGGAAGGTATTGCAATAGTCTGCAATTTCTTGAACAGTTGCAAAGATGATGCCAAACTCTTCTCGGGAGTACCAGATGATGTAGCAATAAGAAATAAACATAAATTGTGGAGCAGAAGACTCTCCCTTTGGGGAAGGAAATTATGAGGAGGATTGTATAGTACAAGAGCAGGTTGTCAGCAAAGCCGTAGAGTCTCCATTTCTGGAGGCTTTCAAGACAAAGCTAGACATGGCCAGTTGACCTTGCCTTGGTGATGACCCTGCTCTGATTTGGAGGCGGCTAGCTGGTCTCCAGAAGTCCCTTTCAGCCAACTTTTATGTACCTGAGTTGTATTTGTTGCTGTTCTGAGACTTAAGTAATTTGATCTTAGTGCTAAGTTGAAATTGACCTTTTCTTCTACCTACAAGCTTTATTGAAATTATCTTTTATTTCCTCCACGGTGAGTTCTGGTAAAAACAATTTTAAAATGTAACTAAATTTTCTAGATAATGTCTCTTTTTGTATTTGTGGTGCACAAGTGGACTTGTGCATCTGGTATTGAACTGTAAATATGTGCTGGTAGGCATGTCTTTACTTACCGTCATAGCTGTACTTTTAAACCTGATCTAAGCCTCTACTTCTAGGAGTCAAGTCGAGGTCTGCTTCCTTAAACCAATCCATAACAAAATCACCCGGGCCATTGCACCCAGCAAGGAAATTCAGCGAGGCTAGAGGCAATCAGCTGTTGGGTAAAGTAAATTTTTCATTTACATTCTTGAATCCCTCAGTCTTGAAAAAGAGCAGCTATGCTCTACAGCTTTTCAGAGTAATTAAGATAGTCTGCTGTCTTCACCTGTAGCTCACAGGATTGGAGACTGGCTCTGCAAAGTGTTTCTTAGATACTTGTTTATCAGTGGGTAAAAGTCAGGACACTTCATGGCTGCTTGAAACTTGTATCCTGTGAGGACTTGGTGCACTTGATAACATCGGTTAAATGCTTTTACGAAACCTGCTTTATAAAATTGTGTACTTGCAAGACAAATCTCAGACTAGCTTTCCCAAGCTTTTGTTTAAGCTTGCTTGTGAGAGCTTGCTGATCAGCTTTGGCTATTTAGGGTAACATGTACTTGACTTTCCATTTCTGTATCAGGTGTTTGCTTTATTTTAATTTTTATTTGAAATTCATAATTAACTACCAGAGTGAATCAAAAGAATAGATCTGATTACTCTGAAAAGTTCCATAACACAAAATTTTCAGTTTGGGAGCAAAGTTTGATTTGCATGTTTGAGGTGAAGGGAAACAATTACAATTGTGCTACAAAGCAGAACATTCATTATTGGTATACTTGCTGTGGGATCACACACTGTTTCTGAAGCGTGAAGAAAGCTCAACCTGATAGGTGTTGTAAACAGACCTTCTATAAACTTCTGTTCATTACTTCTGCACTTATAACTAGCAAAAAGTGCTTTCATTTAATTCGTATCATTCAAAATGATGAGGTTCTTAGATCAGCTTTCACATGACTCTGAAACAATACAGTAAGGGTAGATTAACCTTCTCTGTTTTCATTTCTAACCGACTTGATTGGTACCACATCTAAGAGTGCTGTTATTTATAGCTGCTCTATGCAAATAAAATAAATGAAGTGTATGACTTTAAAAAAAAAAAAAAGTTAAAATGATAATGGTACAGATAATATTTGTTTTCTTCTATTACTTATTAATCACTCTACTGTGCTATATGAATGAGTAAAACGAAACAGTGCTACCTGGCTTAAATGAAGTGTGATAATGGTAATGGAAAAAAAAAAATTGTTAATAGGAATTCATCATCCATTTTCCAGATAGGTTAACCTTATAATGCCAAATCTTTCTGTCAAACATGCTATCAGCCATCACAAGGAAGTAACTGAAATTGCAGGAGGTTACGTGGAAAGAATCTCAAAAGATTTGCTCCCCTTTACTGGCTTGAAGTGTAATTCTGCTTTCTTTTCCGAACATCATAGGTACTCCTGGAAGAAATAGACACCAAAGCCTGTCGTCTTTTGGTTCTGGTGAGTATTCTGAAAGTATTTATACGTACTCCGTAGTGGAACTTAAATTAGGTTTATATGTTAGATTACTGCATTGTTTCCTTTCTCGGAAAGACGGCTTTGCAACAGAACTTCTGTGAACTTTCATTGATTTTGGTTTCAAGGAGTACAGAGAGAAGCCTTGTTTTTTCTAGTTGATGTCTTCAGGTTACCCAGCACTTGGAGTACGTAGTCTGTTCTATTTGTTTTCCAGTGAAGCATAAGTAGGTTTTAACAGTAACAAAAAGAAGTATGGCAATGAAACTTAGATGTAGTTTTTACTGTTTAACCACGTTGAAGTAAGTAATGATTAAAGCTCATGTGTTATGGCTTTAAAATAAATAAATAGACGAGTCATGCAGAATAACAGGTTTTTCTGGAAGGTTCGTGGTAGCTACCCTTTCAGTGTCAGCTGTCTTTGTATTTCTGTCACTGTAGACTATGCTTGAAGATGAAATTATCCAAACTTGTTAGTTTGTGTGTCTGCATGTATGGCAAGGGAGGAATGGCAACGGATTGTGGCAGATGGTGTTCCAAAATCTGGCAGTGTTTTTAAGGACTTCATATTGGGTTTGTTTTCCTTGTTTATGCCAGTCAGGGCACCTGGTGCTAGTTTGTCTCTGCCAGGAGACAGAAGAGTCTTCAGATGAGGTTTCTATTCACAGGAATTTCCAGGTCTTTTTCAGGAGGGTTAGAAGCCTAATTTAGATTCCTAAGAATCAGTGCATACTTGCTGAATTAAAAACCACTTTTAATTACTGAAAAGCCCTCTTTTGAAAGATACTGAGGATCACTGGGAAGCCCTGTGTCCCCTGAGTGAATAGCAGATGTCTTTGTGAAAGAGGTGCTGTAGCCAACCAGATGTTATGAATTTGAGTCTGGAATTGCTGAGTAAAACAGTTCTGACCTGTCACTTGGGTACTGTGGCAGTATGTTTTTAATTTCCTGCACTCATAACACGAGTCTAATGCTTTGCCTCCTGCTCTTTTGTGTGTTAAGTGTCTGCATATCAATCATGACTGAGTGCTTTGCTTGAGATTTGCTGTCATAAATCAGGTCTTCACTTATACAAGTATTAGATGTAGTATAAAACACTTGCTGTTTGTTGCTTTAATTTATATTTGCCCGAACTAATGTTAGTTTAGGTGTAAGCTGACAGTATTGCATGAGCTTATATATGACTTTTTTTTATATAAAATTGTAGAGTGATACTGCTAGGAACATAATGCCTTAATTAGTTGGGTCAGGGGAATTTGTGATAAGCAATAAAGTATAAACTAGAAATTTAAATGTAATTGTTTTCCTCTAAATCTAGCATGGCACCCTCACTTTCCATGCATTAAAGTACTTATTGCTTTCCCACCCTTTTTGCAAGTTTAACATATTTCTATCTTGTGATTCATCTTTTCCAAGCTAATAAAGAATGTGGCTGTGTATCTTTGAAGTATATTTGCTGCCATAAAAATGTGGCTATAACTCCAAATTGGCCATAACACTTAGAGTGATTCTTTAACAAATTCTTTAGCGTCTTATTTTTGCCAGTCAAATACCTGCATTTCAATATTTGTCTTAAGAAACCTGTTTCCTGTACTGAATCAGCTTCCAAAATTGGGTGGTATGTTAGACTTTTGAGTTAATAGCTTTTTAGCTTATACAAAGCATTAGTATAATGTTCCATTTACACATGCAAGCTTTCTGATAGAGTAATTCACTGTTTTAAGAAAGACTTCTTTTTTTCTCATCTTCACATTTGCAGATAGTTTTTTAGCAATACAATAAAAATATTGTTTGGCTGTTTGGATGTTCTCTGGTATGATGTCTTAAACTTGAAGAAAAGACAAATGATCTTTTTTCTTTTTTTTTTTTTTTAAATGAACTGCAATAATGCCAGCTGGTACCATGTAGAATGGGGCTCAGTATTTTCTTCTTCTCTTCGTTGCCTTGATATTATAGTAGTGCTTTGTTCTAATGATTGTATATAGTTAAAGCTTTCGTTCTCTTATTTCGTTGTTAACTAGTTAGTTAACTCTACAGTTTTAGGCTTGTTCAATGAGGCAGTTGTACCTCACTTCTATTTCTTGCACACATGCTCTGCCTGAAGTGTCAGAAATGTAACTTGCAGTGGGACTTGGGGGGAGGGAGAAGGAATTAATTACCTTATTAATGCATTAATTGTCTAGATCAGTAGTTAATGTTGCTTCTAGCATCACTTCAGGAATGAAATAATAGCAGAATGAAATAATAGCTTTTACGAAACAAATACCTGTTTTGGCAGTTCCAAAGGTAAAGCATACAAATTCTCATTGGGGACCTTTATCCTGGTGTTGAGCGACTCTGAAAGGGACATGTGGTGTACTATGGATAGCAGGGGACACTTATGCTTGTGGCAGAGCAATGTTGTCAGGAAAGCTGGGGCAGTTTCTGGATATACCATAACATATTATCAGGTAAGAACAGTATGGTTTAGGTCATATCTTTCCAGTATGCATTACAACCAGTTGTTAAAGAAGGCTAGAGAAGCCATGAAAACCAAAGAAGCTTCATCCAAAAGCCATACATGCTCTATCAGGAAATATTCTGTTTTCTTACTCTCTTAAGAGGTTAAAAGGTTGCTTGTTTTAGTTTAATAATCTGTGAGAAATGTAACAAAGAGGTGAAATGGCTTCAGTTAGATGGCTTATTGTAAAAGTAATAGTGCTGGTATGGTTGTTAACAGCTCACAATAGTGTCTCTTTAAACAGGCTGTTAAAGGTGCCTGCTGGCTTCTCACTGAAATTTGTACAGTGAGATAGGATGTTTTTACTAACAAAATGCTCTAGTTCAAACAAAAGTTTAAAGAGGGATACTTTTGGGGGTTTATTTAACACCTCTTTCTTTCATGCCCTGTTGAAACCCAGAGAAAACAGAAGGTAAACATCTGTTTCTTCTCATCCTGTAGATTCCTTGGTAGAATCAGTTACCTTCAAAGTGCTTGAGCTTTCGGTGTCTGGAAAACAAGGGATTAATCTAGGTCACACTCTGCCTGTGCTTTTATAACAACAGCAGCAACAACAAAAAACAACTCCACAAGCAAAACAAAAGCTTGAAGATCTTAAAACGTGTTGTGATACTATATGAAAATGTGTAAATTTTCTTTAAAAATTGGGAGGATTACACCCGAGAGCTGATGAATGTTGTTACGAATGTCACATACTTAGGTCTTCAGTGCCTGTTTTCATCTAGTTTGCTATTGGTAGTCTTCAGTGTGGTAATGGCATGTCACACAGTGATGAGACGCTACTGTCCTGTCAAGCAGCTTATTAGACCTTTCTCCTTTGTTTCTCCTCTGATTGGAAGGGCTTTCTCGGTGTGTTTTTGTTTTTTCTTTCTTTGAAGAAAAGCTTTTGCAGTTTGTAGGAAAAAACTGTGCAAAGAGTTGTATGGAAACTCAAAAAGACCTTGATGCGTTTGTGAACAGTGCTCATGTGGTTGGTCATAGAGCACCATAGAATAGATTGGGGAACTTGTCTGAGTTGGAAACAAGTCAGGAAGAATAGTGCTTTTGGTGGCAGTTGTAGCATAGGTCACAAAGTGGTGAGCAAAACATGCAGAAGACAGAGCAAGCCGCTTGTCTCAGCACTTTGAGCGGCTATCCTTGGCTTTATCTTAGTGTTTGCTTTCAATGCAAATTTCCAGCTGTATAACATTAGAAACAATGCTGATAACAATGCTTAAAAATATAGATTGATTTTTTTTGTTGCTGTTGAGTACCTAACTTTGCAGGTGCAAGGTTATTAAATGTGAAATTGATCTCCATTTGAGAAGAATATCTATTTATATATACATACACATATATATGTGTATATATAAATAATCCAAAGGTCTTAACTTGCTTTAAAAGACAAATAAAAATTTAAAAAATATCTGAGAATGTTGTACAGCTCTATATGAGAGTTTATAACAAAGTTAACCTTATTGCAATGCTGCCACCAATTAAGTTTCATGTATCCATTAAAAATTCTGTGGTAGTCTGGAATTTTGGTATGAAGTAAAACTTCTGTTCTTGAATCAATTCAGCCTTCTTTCAGTGCCTTCTAATTCTGTTCTCTGGGCATTGGAAGTAAATTACGTTAAAAATAATTCAGGAAGTACTTTGATATGTAAGTATCTTAAACATTGGGAAGTTCTTTCCTCTTCTGCACGTGGATAAACCAGGCACCTTCTACAGTGAGGCTAAGACCAGGAGGAAAGTTATTTCTTAACTGGGAGACAGTCTAATACTTAAAGGATTCTGGGTATGTAAAAACAGTGTTTAAGTGCCTGTTAACACTGGGCAGAGCAGGGAGGGTATTGCTCAATGTCTTGCACATTGCAGAACTAACATTTCTGACTAGTTCCAGCCAGGAATTTTGGTACAGATGAGTTGAAACTGAAATTTCAGTCTCTTGTGTTAAAAGCTTCAGCTTTTGTAAGTTGGGTTTGTCTATTTTTGTCATTTTTGTCATCCCTCTCTACAACAGAACATCCTGGAAGTTTTCTAGAAAAGCTTGAACGCTTTTGTAAACTTTGTGGAATAAAGCAGTAGCAGCAACTTTAGATTTAGTATTTGTTTAATGATCATAGATAACATCTTACAGATTTGAAGTTCTAGGATTTGAATAATATAAATTGGTCTCTCTCCTTTATCTCTTGACAAGGAACAAGAAGATCAAGCTTAAACTCTTTTGCAGATATTAGTACTGTTCATTGGACTACTTGTTGCCTTTCTAGCTGCAAGAAAGAGCCTGCTGTAGGCTTTTTTTAGATGTTTTCCATCCATGTGAACAATGAGGACTATCTGAATGACTCAATTGTCTCGTGATCTAGCCCTAGAATACTTGCAAGCTAATAAAGAATGTTCTTATAAACAGCCAGCAAAACTGCTCAAGTGGCGTAGCTATTACATGTGAACCACCTATAACGTTTTGTTACCTCTATATAAATAAGTTTAGAATTAATCTAAA